GTGGGACATAAAGTGATACTCGTGAGGTGTGTGCCTCTTAGCTCAAGTAGATACAAGAGACTAAACGGGCAGCTTCTGTCTGGAGGTGAGATGGGAAGGCAGAGAGGGTTAGGAGCTAGTTGAATGGACATGGGGAATCAGGGATGGAAATGAGGAGTGTGCTGTCACAGGACGGGGAGAGCAGTTAGGGTCACGTAACAATGTCTGTATAAATTTTTGTATGGGAGACTAACCTGAAATGTAAACTTCATTTAAACTACAACAAGAAAAAAATAAAAAGACATAGAATTTCGAGCATAATTTTTTGGAAGTGGTAAGGTTTTGCCAAGACATTATTATTCACTGAAACTGTGAAAGAAGATTTAGTAACTTTAGAAGAAATCCAATGTAATGAACAGGCTCTTGTGTCTGGTAACACAAAAGACAGTCCTGTCAAGGTGTCTAGCTGAACTCCTACCGTACATGCACGTACTGGTTATGCTGCTCAATAGTGGCTGCGGCAGAGGTTTCTCAACTATTTAAAATTACTGTGAGACGATTATCGTTTTATGAGACAATGGTATTGTCCTGGGAAGTGTTCCACATTCCTAGCATTTCCTGGGTGTTCCCCTTTATGTGGTGTTTATGTGGGCTATTTCAAGCTCAAGCAGGGGTGTTTAGAATGTGATAGATTGACCCACACTATGCCAACTGCAGATGGAGAACCTCTATATTAACCTCTCTTCATCTCTCCCCAGCTTATTCTGGAACAGTGTTGGGTGCATGTGTCTTGCTGTCCTTATCTGGGACTCTGTGTACGTTTTGCACGTCTGCCATTTTGCTTTAGTAGAAAAAGCTGGGCTTGTCCCAACGTGAGAGTGTGAGTCCCACCAGTTCTGTCAGCCGGGACACATCAGTTTCCGCTTCTAAAGTGGGGGTGATACTGGATCTGCCTACCCTTTAGAGTTGTTATACCACCTGAAAGCTTGGTGGTTCAAACCTACCCACTGGCTCTGTGGGAGAAAGACCTGGTGATCTGCTTCCGTAAAGATTACAACCAAGAAATCCCTACGGGGCAGTTCTACTCGCTATGAGTTGGAATCGACTTGATGGCACCCAACAACAACATGTATTGATGACAGTCAAAATAAGATGTGTGGATATACTCTGAAATTTTTAAAGCACCATGCAAATGTAATACCATACATTTTTATTCTACTCTCTTTGTGTTTAAATAGGCATATGCATGTCTATGCATTTGTTATCTCTCCTTGGTAGTAAGCTTTTAGAGTTGAAGAACTGTATACATGTTATTTAGTACGTTGTTATTTGTAGCTAGGCCTTTAGTAACGTTTGTTGGTTCGTTTGTTTTCATGATAAAGTTTTATAAACTAAAATTTACTCAGCTTTCCGGTTTTGCCACCACTGCCTGTTCACTATTTGTCTTTTGCCCTTTAGGATGGCTGGATTGGTGTGCGATCAGTGATGCTCAAGAAAACACTAACAGCTACTGATTTCTACAATGGATATTTGCACCCCTGGTACCAAACAAATTCTCAAGCTCAGCCAAGCCAGTGCAGATTTCAGACTCTCAGACTGCCAGCAAAGAAGCAGCAGAAAAAAAAGATTGTTGCTATGCAACAGTGTATTAAGTAGTTAGGAAGAAGATGGACAAGAATCTGTTACGTATTTGTAATTTATTAAAAGCCTTATTTATAAGGAATTACAGTGGGTGGCTCCTATGGTTAACACAGTCAGCTGCTAACCAAAGTGTTGGAAGCTCACGTTCACCCAGAGGTGCCTTGGAAGAAAGGCCAGATGATCTACTTCTGAAAAATCTACTTCCAAAAACCCTATGGAGCACAGTTCTACGCTGACATACATGGGGTCACCATGAGGCGCAATCAGCTCGATGGCCACTGAGTACTGTTACCTTGGCTTTCAAAGAAGATGAAACTGTTGGAAAAAGAGATTATTGTCAAAAAGATGGATTACCTCACTTCCTACTTTTTAACAGTAATTAAAAGCTTTTTCTACTTGAATAACAAAAGAAGCTTTAAATAAAATTTTTATTAATATCAAACTCAAGGAGATTCTGTCTTTCCCTAAAGAGCAAGGACAACTAACTGGTGTGTTTATTTGTAGGTACTCGAGAGAGATCCTTTTAAAAATAGTGCCTGTGTTGAATGTTTTAAATCCTGTTTCCCTGTTGACTATGTTACCGGTTTAGGAGTATTTCATCTGCATTTCTGATTTTCAACAAGTAGTTAAATCAACTCTTTATATTCCTTGACCACCTGGTTCTCATCAAGTAGTAAATATATGATACTGAATCATCTCTGTCACATAGATCTGTATTATGAATTCACATTTTACATGTAGGTCTTCCCGAAGTAGGAATATGCTCACATTTTCACCTTACTTGGAAATAAAGGTTGGGGAGCATCTGGTCTGTGCAAATGCATCTTCTCTGTCTCCGGGGGAGCTGAGTGCTTCTGGAGGAGGAAGGAGGTGCCGTGGCCAGCTGTTGACGTCTTGAGAATCTTTTCACGTCAGCTTTTTCTGCCCAGATTCCGTCAGTTGAAATCTCATCTATTCATTCAGCAGCATTTATTGATAGGGTGGTCGTCTAAATTAGGACATTCTGATGAGTGAAAGGAGGCATTAATACTAATTACTCCGGGTCCACAGGCATAAACCAGGACTCTCCCAGGCAAGCCAGGTTGTCGGGTCATCCTATTTACTGAGCACTTGGGGTGCCATTAGCTTTTATGCTGGTTGCCGGAGATTCAGAGGTTAAATAATATGAAGCATCTTCAGTCTAGTGGGGAGGCAGACATGTAAGCAAATATAGAGCTATAAATGCTATAATGGAGGTATAGTGGATGCATTAAGTCTCCCTTGGGAGTCAATGGTGGCTTTCTAGAGGAAGTGAAACTTAATCCAAGGTTGCAAATGATGAGTTCAGTATGCAGACTAAGGCCTGGAAGGGCGTTCTAGCATGTGTAGAGTACAAAGACATGAAAAGAACGCTCATTCTTTAAACCATAAAGTTGTTATATATTGTATGTATGAGCTAGTTCTATATACATACGTATACATGCATATATATATATATATATACACACATATATGTATGTGGAACCCTGGTGGGCACAGTGGTTAAGAGTTCGGCTGCTAACCAAAAAAGGTTGGCAGTTCATATCCACCAGCCACTCCTTGGAAACGCTATGGAGCAGTTCTGCTCTGTCCTGTAGGGTTGCTATGGGCTGGAATCGACTCAACGGCAACAAGTTTGGTTTTGGTTTATATATATACTTGAGTGTGTGTGGTGGAGCTGGGGAAAAGCTAATAATGGATCATGGAAGATAAATGGCATGGTATACAGGAAAAAAGCATGATGTTTTGAAGGACCTGCAAGAATTGATAGGAATAGAATATGATGATGTAGGTAAGACTGGAAGAGCAAGCTGAGGCCAGATCATGGCTTTGACAACCACAATGAGAGTCCTGACCTCGTAGGCAAACGACTTTTTTTTTTTTTAATTGTAAAAATATATATAACACAACATTTGGTAGGCAATAGATTTTTAATCAGGGAATGACATGACCAGATTTACATTTTGGAAAGATAACTTCGGTAGTGGAAGTGTGTGTGAGACCTGGGACAGGAAGATGCTGGCAGGGTAAAGAGCTGAGGTGCAACAGTGACTGTGGGGATCGGCAAAAAAACATTTCAGAGATTGCTGTGGAAGTGACAGAACTTTACTGGGTTACCATTTGGTTATTAAATTTTGGCTCCACCACTGACTAGCCCTTTGATCTCTGAGAAGTCACTTAACATCACTGAACTTCAGTTACCGCATATGTGAAATGGGACTGATGATAAGAAAGCAAACCAAAAAACATTCTCAGGATACTCTGGAGAATCAATGAGACAGTGTACGTGAAAGTGCTTTTGTGCTGTTATTTTAAAATTAATATTCTTTGATCAATTACTCCCTGCCAGGCACTCTGCTCATGTTAGGGAATACAGAGAGAATGAAAATCAGCACCCGCTAGTTGCTTGCGTATGTGGTAGGGTGATTTCTGCAGGGGACCCATGGACATGCCCAGTCAGACACTGCCCCAGAGAGTAGGGAACCTCACTGAGTACAGCTCACTGGCCCCAGAGCTGTGACCCAGGAAAGGCTAGGTTCCATGTGAACCATCTAAGCAATTTTCTGCCTCTCCCATCCCCCCAGACGGCAACCGCCTTGGTGAGAGGAGCATTTCTAGAATGCTAAAAGGAACCTCAAAGATCCCTCAAACCTTGACATTTGGTGACACCAAGACCCTTGATGTGTGAAGTTAGGTTCTTGGATGCAAAGAACGTGACCGGAAACACCTTTAAGAAGGTGTGTGTAGTGGGGTGGTTATTATAGGAATATAAGTGGGCCAAGACTGGAAAGCTGTTAGGAGCAGGGCAGCTCTGGGTTTGGATTTGCTTACCCTGTCCCTCCCTACCCTCCTTGTGCCCTATGGTCTCCCTGATGACATGTGTGCTCTGTTTATCTGATCTCTTACCAAACAAACAAAACCATTGCCGTTGAACTGATTCCAACTCATAGTGGCCCGATAGGACAGAGTAGAACTGCTCCAAAGGTTTCCAAGGAGCAGCTGGTGGATTCGAACTGCCGACCTTTTCTGGTTAGCAGCCAAACTCTTAACCACTGCACCACCAGGGCTCCGAGAGTCAAAGCTGCATCGACCAGGAACCAAACCCAGGCCTCCCAGGTGGCAGGCAAGAATCCTACCACTGAACCACCAACGTTCACCCGATCGGTCTTGTACTAGTTAATGGAAGACATTCTAGGTGGGGCCTGTCTGATTGTTCAGCGAATTACCATTGCCTTTACTGGGCAGAACCTTTTACGCCAGCCCACCTTCTAGTCCTTGGCCAGACCGTGGGTCAGTACCACCCCACTTCAATGATTCTCACCCTGCATAAAAGATAGCCAGTTTGAGCTGGAAAGGGAAGTTGGTCATCAAGATTGGCATGGCTGGTACACTTAGATGTGAAATACCATTCATACACATGAAATCTTGAGGCAGGAGTGTGAGGCCTATCCCATGGAGGGCAGTTTCCCACCCAGGGAGCTTCAAGCCCACCCTGGGACTGGAAGATAAACACAAGATACAGAAATGGCATCTTCAAGTTGGCAGTCCCTTCTCTGAGAAAGAAAATGGTGCACATCCCAGATAGGCCTCAGGGAAGCATATGACCCACTCTTTGTTCAGGCCCCTACAGAGACCACAGTCCAGTCTGACTGAGGAGGTTTCTCATCAGAACCAGATCCACCTGGAGTACTTGTTTAAAATATAGATTCCTGGGCCTCACACCAGACCTTCAATGAGAATCTCTAGATATGGGATGCTGCATTTTATCAAACTCATCAAATAAATGTTATGCTAGAGCAGTGTCTTAGTCTGCGTTCTCTAGAGGAGTAAAACTAGTGAAGTGTGTATAACTATATGAAGAAATTTACTTCAAGGAAATGATTCACACAATTGGGGCTGGCAAGTCCCAAATCCATGCGTCAGGCAGCAGGCTGAAGACCTCTGCCGGCTCCCATGGTTGCAGGGGCTGACAAACCCAAAATCTGCAGGTCAGACGGCAGGCTGGAGGCCTCTGCTGGCTCACAGGGCTGCAGGGGTTAGTAAATCCAAAATCTGCAGGTCAGGCAGCAGGCCAGACACATCTGCAGGCTTACGTCGCAAGAACAGAAGTCAGGTGACGAGAAGCATGCGGTGTCGAGTAAGAAAGCAAGCTTTGCCAGAACATCCATTTATATACTGGAGGCAGGCCACAACCCCAAGGAAACTCCCCTTTCAACTGATTGGCTGCTCACATAGATCACAAAATGCAATGTGATTGCATAGTATCTGCCAAACCGCTGAGAATCACAGCCTGGCCAAGCTGACACGTAACATTAACCATCATAAGCAGTAACACCTTCAACTAACTTAAGAGGTGCACGTGGATCTCAGCCACATACTGGCCCCTAGGACCAAGGTCCTTTGAGGGCGTGTTCTGTGCTGTCAAGTTGATTTCGATTCATAACAACCCTATAGAACAGAGTAGTACTCCCCATAGAGTTTCCCAAGCTGCAATCTTTACGAGAGCAGATCACCAAGTCTTTTCTCCCACAGAACCAGCAACTTTTCACTTCGAAGCTGAGTGCTTGCTTAACCATTGCACCACCAGGGCTTCATGGGGGGCGTGTGGAGAAAGGCTACTCTGTGCTCTGGCTGAAAGGATGGGTTTGCAAATGCATGGGTTTCTTATGCAAGATGCTTCTATCCTGGTTGTTGTCTGAGCTGAAGAAACACACGTGGCATCCTATTCAAAATCCAACGCTGTTACTAGTTAAGTGACCCAGGATAAGTAACAAACTTTTTAAACTCAGATTTCTCAGTTTAAAAATATGGATAATACCTGCTTTGCAGAACAGAAATACATATGGAAAATGCCCAGGGCAGTGCCTGGCACATAGTAGACACTAAATAGTAGCTATTATTGTCACCAAGGAGCCCTGGTAGCGCAGTGGTTAAGCACTTGGCTGCTAACCAACAAGTAGGTGGTTCGAACTCACCAGCCACTTCGTGGGAGAAAGACGTGGCAGTCTGCTTCTGTAAATATTACAGCCTGGAAACCCTGTGGGGCAGTTCTACTCTGTCCTATAGGGTTGCTATGAGTCAAATCAACTTAAAGGCAATAGGTATTATTGTTACCATGGTCTACTGCTGTTCTAATCTCTTCTTTTGATCTGCAACAGTATTTTGTCCTCTGGATGGCAGCACCAGCCTGTGGAGATGCCTTTAGACAACACGGAAAGAAAAAGAATTTAGAGCAGGAAGGATCTGATTTAGTAGCCCAAATTTTTACTTTAGAGATGGAATGAGCGTTCAACTACAGCCAGCTAGTGACAACACCAGGATTAAAACCTGGTGACTACGGTAGATTTTGCTTCAAAAAAGTTTCTAATCTTGGTTTGCTTCGGGGGACAAAAGAGATGTTTCTGGGCATAAAATTTAGCTCCTGAGAATGGCCACTGAAAGGATGCTTATTGCTTTTATACTTTGTATTAAAGGTAGTATATTTTCTAGTGCAAACCTATTTCAACCTTTTTTCTTTATAGTCATCAAACAATTCTAAGGTAAAAATAAGTTATTTTTAGAGGCAGAGTCTTTGAGTCAGACAGACCTGATGTGGGCCCTCGCCCTGCCACCGACCTTAAGCCTAGGCTGGTTACTTAACCCTCTGAATCTGTTTCCTTATCCATGACATTGGTGTCACTAGGGTAGGTGACACCCAGCGCAGTAACTCATGGTGTCACCCCCACCCCCCACAGGCCTCCTTCCGTACCAGACCATACAGAATCCTTAGTAATGTTTTTTGTACTGTTACTCGTATATCATAATTCTCATACA